CCAGGCCGCCGTTCGACGGCGTCGACGGACGTCGCAGTTGCGACGTTCTCTCTCTCTCTCTCTCTCTCTCTCTCTCTCTCTCTCTCTCTCGACTCCTCTCTCTCAGAGTCTCTCTCTCAGAGTCTCTCTCTCTCTCTCTCTCTCTCTCTCTTTCTTTTTCTCTCTCTCTCTCTCTCTCTCTCTCTCTCTCTCTCTCTCTCTCTCTCTCCCTACTTCCTCCTTCCTCCTCCCTCTCCTCCTCCTCCTCCTTCCCCCTTACTCCCCACTCTTCCTCTCAGATTCCTTTTTCCCTCCCTCTCTCTCCTCCTCCATCCCCCTCCCCCCCCCCCCCCCTCTCATTCTGCATCCATTTATGTGTTCTTTCTTGCCGCCTCGTCTTCTCGCCGCTCGCCAGTTGGGTGCGCGCTGCGCGCTGGCCTCGGCGAGGCAGGAGCCCAGTCTTTTTTTTGCGTGGGCCAGGCGCGCGGACCTGGCCACCTCGGCGTTCGACGCTGCGCCGCTGCAGTGCCCTTCCTCCTTCTTTTCTGGGTTCGGGATCCAGGGTCCAGGGCCTCCAGGGCTTCGCCCTGACCAATCGTTTGCGAAACTCTAACTGGACCACTTTTGTTCCCCAGGGCCCCCTCCTCCTCTTCATTATCCTGCTCCTCCCCCGACTCCCCCTCCTCCTCCTTCTCCCCTTCTTCCTCCCCCTCCCCCTCCTGCCCGCCCCACCCCCGTATCTTCCTCTCCCCTCCACCTCCCCCTCCTCTTCGTTCACGTCCATCCTCCCTCCTCGTCCATCCTCCCTCCTGCCGCCTGTCTTCGGCGGCCGGCGGTCTGCAATCTGTCGCTCTCGTTGGATCGTCGTGCTCCGATCTCTCACCCCCCCCGCCGCGTGACCCTAGCTTGAGGCCGTGGCCTTTGGGAGGGCGAGGTGGCGATGGGGGTGAGATATCAGAGCCGCTTCTCCAACGATGCGGTGTGCGGCGCAGCCTGGCGGTGCGCCCAGTCCCAGTGCGCCCAGCTGCTGGCGGGGCTTTCAAGATTTCCAGATGCTGGGCGGCACTCTGTTGCAAAATCTCGCCGTTCCGCCGCGAGACACCGCGGCCACCGTCACGCCGCCGCGGTCGTGCTTCCACTGGGGCAGTTTCTTGAGGGCTCGTGGCGGATGGCCTGACGTGAGTGCGCTCGTGCATGCGCGCGTGCGTGCGTGTGTGTGTGTGTGCGTGTGTATACAGAAAATTGTTTGTGTGATCGAGCGTGAAGCTATGTCCGTGCGTGTAGACACACATACGCACAATGTACGGTACTAATGCATGCAGGCGTACATGAGCATGCCCTAGAGCTTATTCTTAAAACTTAACGCACCCTCCTGACCTCCTTTCCCTTACCTCCCTTCTCTCCTCTCGTGTCTCCCTGTCCTCCCCCTCCGTGCACTACCCCTCCCTCCCCCCGCTTTCCCCCCTTCCTTCTCTCTCTCTCTCCTCTCTCTCTCTCTCTTTCCCCCCCTTCCCCCCCCCTCCCCCCCCCCCTTACCCCCCCTCTCTCCCCCCCCCCCCCCCCCCTCCTCCCCCCCCTCTCTCCCCCCCCCTCTCTCCCCCCCTCTCCCCCCTCCCCCCCCCCCTCTTTGGCCCCCTTGTTATCTCTCCCCCCCCTTTTTTGACCCCTATGTTCTCTGCCCCTTCCTTCCTGCCCCTCGTTTCAGGGCCGCTACAGAGAGCAACTCTTCGGGAGAGCTCAATCCTCCTCCTCCTCCTCCTCTTCCTCCTGCTCGTCCTCGTTCTCGTCCTCCTCGTCTTGCTCGTCCTCCTCCTCCTGGTGCTCTCCTCCTCCTCCTCCTCCTCCTCCTCCTCCTCCTCCTCCTCCTGGTGGTCCTCGTTCTCCTCCTCCTGGTGCTCTCCCCCCCCCTCCTCCTCCTCGTCCTCCTCCTCCTCCTCCTCGTCTCCTCCTCCTCTTCCTCCTCCTCCTCCTCCTGGTGTCCTCCCCCTCCCCCTCCTCCTCCTCCTCCTTCCTGGTCGTCTCGTCTCGTCCTCCTCGTCTTGCTCGTCCTCCTCCTCTGGCCTCTCTTCCTCCTCCTCTCCTCCTCGTCCTCCTGGTGGTCCTCGTTCTCCTCCTCCTGGTGCTCTCCCCCCCCCCTCCTCGTCCTCCTCCTCCTCCTCTCCTCCTCCTCCTCCTCCTCCTCCTCCTCTTCCTCCTCCTCCTCCTCCTCCTCCTCCTGGTAGTCCTCCCCTCTCCTCCCCTCCTCCTCCTCCTCCTCCTCCTCCTCCTCCTCTTCCTGGTCGTCCTCCTCCTCCTGGTCGTCCTCCTCCTCCTGCTCGTCCTCCTCCTCCTCCTGCTCGTCCTTCTTCTCCTGCTCCTCCTGCTCCTCGTCCTGCTCCTGCTCGTCCTCGTCCTCCTGGTCTTGCTCGTCCTCCTCCTCGTCGTGCTCTTGCCCCTGCTGAAAATGTGGCCCGGGAATGGGAGTTCTGGGAAGTCGAAGAGCACGAAGTTGCCTACAGTTGGCTACGGGCATTCAAAATGTGGCCCGGGAATGGAGTTCTGGGAATTCGAAGAGCACGAAGTGGCTTACAGTTGGCTCCGGGCATTCAAAATGTGGCCCGGGAATGGAGTTCTGGGAACTCGAAGAGCACGAAGTGGCCTACAGTTGGTTCCGGGCATTCAAAATGTGGCCCGGGAATGGAGTTCTAGGGACTCGAAGACCACGAAGTGGCCTACAGTTGGCTCCGGGCATTCAAAATGTGGCCCGGGAATGGAGTTCTGGGAAGTCGAAGAGCACGAAGTGGCCTACAGTTGGCTCCGGGCATTCAGAATGTGGCCCGGGAATGGAGTTTTGGGAGGTCGAAGAGCACGAAGTGTGCGACTGTTGGCTTAAAACGACTTCTGCGGCACCCTGTCCGGCACCCGCCCAGACCCCCCTGTGGAGTCATCTGCTGCTCTCTTTTGACCCTACTAGAAACCTATCAGTCTTCGCTGTTAGGTAAAAATTTCGACCAGAGCCCCGCACCCCATCTTTCTGCATCATCATTCGAGCCGGATCGATCTGTGAGGGTCCTTGGACCCTACATCGGGCGAAAATGCCTTGTGTTAAATATTATCCCGGCAAAACAACCTAACAACGATATGTAGAAGCATATCTGAAAGCATTCCCCTTCAGATTCAGATGAAAATCCAGTTGTCGAATTCTGCTGTTCTCGCAGTCGTAGTCGCATTCGCGATGACAGTCGCAGCGGCAACGGCAGTCGCAGTCACAGCCTCAGCCTCAGCCTGCCTCAGCCTCAGCCTCAGCCTGCCTCAGCCTCAGCCTGCCTCAGCCTCAGCCTCAGCCTGCTTCAGCCTCAGCCTCAGTCTGCCTTCAGCCTCGGCCTCAGCCTCAGCCTGCCTCAGCCTCAGCCTGCATCAGCCTCAGCCTCAGCCTCAGCCTGCCTCAGCATCAGCCTGCTTCAGCCTCAGCCTCAGCCTGCCTCAGCCTCAGCCTCAGTCTGCTTCAGCCTCAGCCTCAGTCTGCCTTCAGCCTCGGCCTCAGCCTCAGCCTGCCTCAGCCTCAGCCTGCCTCGGCCGCAGCATCAGCCTGCCTCAGCATTCAAAATGTGGCCCAGGAATGGAGTTCTGGGAACTAGAAGAACACGAAGTGGCCTACAGTTGGCTCCGGGCATTCAAAATCATGCCCAGGAATGGAGTTCTGGGAACTTGAAGAGCACGAAGTGGCCTACAGTTGGCTCCGGGCATCCACAATGTGGCCCGGGAATGGAGTTCTGGGAAATCGAAGAGCACGAAGTGGCCTACAGTTGGCTCCGGGCATCCAAAATGTGGCCCGGGAGTGGAGTTCTGGGAAGTCGAAGAGCACGAAGTGGCCTACAGTTGGCTCCGGGCATCCAAAATGTGGCCTGGGAATGGAGTTCTGGGAGGTCGAAGAGCACGAAGTGTGTGACTGTTTGCTTAAAACGACTTCTGCGGTACCCTGTCCGGCACCCGCCCAGACCCCCTTGTGGAGTCATCTGCTGCTCTCTTCTGAGACCATTAGAAACCTATCAGAACAAGCTGTTAGGTAAAATGCAACGCTCTTGTCTGAGGGTCTTGATTGTTTCAACACGGGCTTCCCAGAAGTCCCGACCCTCTTCCCAGGGGAGGTCTTCTTCTCCCGAGTCCTTGTTGGACGGTTCGGCCCGGTAAGGGCCCCCGGCCCCCGGAGGCCCATCACGGCAAAAAACCTTCCGTCGTGAGTTGTTCACGTCGCGATAGGTACATTGCATTCGCACATGATATCTATTTCATGTATACATATATATACACATATATTTACATATGGATGTATGTGTACATACTGAATGTATATAGCACCCCTTAGCACCCCTCCGTGCCCCTCTTTCCTCGTTCCCATTCCGTCGTTCCACCCTGTCCGCGGCGCCCCAGCGCCCCCCTGCAGCGCCGTCGCGGCGCCGTGCTGCAGGCCGTGTGTCCGTGTGTCCGTACATCCGTTTGCGAACATGTGGTGGGGGCGAATCAAACCGTGGTGGCGAGGGCCTCCCAGGAGGCCCCCAAAGGGCGAAAAGGAGGAAAGGGTTACGGGATCCGACCCCGCCCCCCCCCCGAGGTCCCCCATGTTTCATTGCCCCCCGACGCAGGGCCCATTTCGATCCGATCGATCCGAGTCGATATGAATTCCGGTCAGCTCGATCCGATTCGATCCCGGTATTTCGACGGTCCAGTGCGGCCCGGTGGCTGCATCCCGGCACAGCCGATCCGATTCGATTTCCAGGCTGTGCTGTTGCATCCCGACCCGATGCACATTTCGATTCGATCCGATTTCCCGATTCTCGATGGCAAGCGACGGGGAGAAATGAGAAGGACTTCTCAGAAGCCCTCGCGCCTTCTGAGAGGTTTTCTCTGTCCTCGGGGAGGGTTTAGAGAACTCTTCAGGAGGCCGCGGGACTTCCGAGCCTTGTTAGACGGCCCGCCCCTTCATACTTCTCCCCCGTGCGCGCCGCCGACATTCGATGCTGGCGGAGCCTGCCAACGATTGGGGGAGGCCTCGACGGCCACGTCGTCATCTGGCGCGAGGTGGCGCCGGGGGAGTGGCAGGCCGCGCGCCCCGCCGCCGCCGCCCGCCCCGCCCGCGTGCCCACGTCTTTTGCCACATGGCAGCTCGTCGCTCGTGTTGACCACTTCCACTACAGTCGGACCGAGGTATGAGATCGAGGTTGGGTCCCCCTATATTCGTTGTGAGTGTTGGATGTTCTTGTGCATCCCGGGGGGAGAGTGCCCTCGAAGGATCTTAAGTTTTGGGGTGTTTGGGCCGGCGGATGGTCTCATGTTCTTGAGGGATGTCTTTCCGTCCGACTCAGGTCCGGCAGTACCTTTGCAAGCACTCCAGGTCCTGCCCCAGGATCCCGCCGTTTTCAAGTTTCCAGTCCTACTGCAAGGTCTCCACCTGCGGCCTCTTCCTCCACGTGGACTCTACGTGGCTGCACGGCCCTGGCACGCCCGTAGAGAACTGCATGCTCTGACCGGCGCCCTTCCGTGCCGCCCTTCTGGTCTTTCCGCGCCTCCGTGCCTCCATTCGCTCCGGTGTGCCCTGCTGTTTGCTCGACCGACGCCTGCTCGCCTGCACTCGCGGGCCAAAGGTTGTGACCACTTCTGGGATGTCGTCTGAAGTGTGCTCACAGTGTTTTCGCTTGATATGTGCAACCTCCTGGTGGAAGTGGTCAGTTCACTGTCGCTGTATATGCTTGCGTTCCCTTTGCGTTCGCCCGATCTGTATATCTTGCGCGTGCTCAGATTAATTTCGCTCCAATGATTTGAGCGATGTCTGACTCTCCTCGGAGGGGGTGTGTCGACGCGCACCTCGGCCTAGTTCTCATTGACCGACGCTGGTATCGTTTAACTTCAACGATCCCCATCCCCACTGGGCCCCCCTTCCCCCCCCCGCTCGGTTAGGAATAGTCCACGCGAGTCCCCAAGGAAACATCAGACATCCCCATCTACCGGGGTAGATCGGCCAGTGGGGCCAACGCCGCGCATGAGGAGGTAGGAATAGGTTAAACGATGCCCATTGCGATCGAGAGCGTTTGCTTTGCGTGACGCGCCCCGAGGCATGTTCTCGTTGTGACGGAGACACGACGGGTGATTGTTGCCGCTTTCGGCCTCCAGGCGCCTCTCGCCGGGACTTGGACCGTCGAAACAAATGACCCAGGATGAAATGCATGTCCCGGGAAAAGGGTCGGGGCTTCCAAAGACCCCGTATCGAAAGAAAAAACATCGCGTCATGAAGTTAGAGGTTTTTGTGCGCTTTCGTAGGTTGTTCGGCGGCTCTCCAGCCTTGGAATGCTCTCCTGCAGCCGTACCTCGCCGACGGCGTCCCGGGGGTACCCAGAACCTCCCGAGCGGCCGTTGAAGACCCTAGTCACGCCCCGAACAGAAACAAATAGGCAACGTTACAGGGGATACGGCCAGGAGTTTTGGCTTAGCGTGTCGCGCCTCCGGTTCTGGCCCGCCACGATCCGGAGCGACGCGCTAACCGCATCCCGGTTCCTGAGGGTCAACGCTTTGGGCTTCTCCCAGCTTCCCACCCAGCGAGGATGAACGACACGCTATCCCCTTGCAGGGCATGACGTGTCGCCGGGGCCGCCGCCGCGACACGCTAAACAAAGCTCTTGACCGTACAATTTCAAAGCTGGCTTTGCTCTGAAGGTCCGCGACTCATTTTCATGCTCAGGGTTCTTATCGCCATCTTGAAGCCAGGGCCAACTTTCAGTTCGCGGTTTGGACATTAGACACGATGGGTATCAACGCTGAACGCTGCCTTTTTTATTGCGCCCAACCCAAATCAGTCGATTTTGTGGATTGGACTTCTCACAGGCCCTGGAAATTACCTCCGAGACCGCCTCCAAGCACGGCGGCGGTATGGGCCGCCAGCTGATCGATGTTTTTGTGCGCTCTACTCTAGCCCCTTTGCCTACGGAAGAATCCCTCTGCTATCGTTCCTCCCCCCTCTCAGTTCTGGCCGCACTCTCGACGAATTATGTGCTCTCGATTATCGATTCTCTAATCTCGAGACGTGGGGTCGGCGAGTTCGGATCGAGACTCGCGAAGCCCGAGTTCAAGCGGAACGCGAGGCCGTGGGTTGGGTTCGTTTCAGTTTGGAGGCCGCCCTTTTCGGGCGCAAAGTTGGGGGGGGATAGGCTCAGGGGGGGACGCATCGTCCCCGAATCGCCCATTCATCGTCAATAGGGACCTGATAGCCCACCCCGCCCAGGAACGTGCATCGCCGATTCAAGATCGATGTTTCCCCTCCCGAGCCGGTCTCCCCCTACCGTTGCCCCTCAGAAGAGGCAATGACATCTGTGGAGCTACGCTGTGAAACAATGTGATTTGCTATGTTTGATTCAATCGCGGCGTTTTCCCCACTTTACCATTACCCCCTTCACCCTGGGCTTCCACATGGTCGGCGGCGAGATCCGAACACTACCCTCACTGATCAACGATTCAGGCCGCTATAATGGGCGGCGAGGGTAAGGTTCGGAATTCGTCGAGCTCGTGGCGAAATCCGAACCCTACACCCGCCTCCCATCCATGCAGGATAATCGGCATTTGGTGTGGGGGGGGTTCTGATGTCGCCTCCCAGAGGGTCTCCCGGGCACCGTATACTACAAGATGGGTATACTATATGTTCGGGTCGGACGCGCGCCTCCAAGGAGGACATATAGTACTAGTATGTCCATGTGCGTCCCATGGCTCGGAGAGCACCTGCGCAGTGCTCCCTTTTTCGGTGGGGTGCTGGGCCCTCGCCCCTGCAGGGCCCCCTCCCGCGATCCGGCGGGGTCCCGCCGGCGGCTGCTCGGCGCCCTCAGTACGTCACCCCGTGGGGGTGGGTGGGGGGGGGGCGGGGCCGGTAGCGGCCGCCATCGCGAAGGATAAAGCAAGGCTCTCCTGTCTGCACGCCTCGCGCTGCCTTTTGTCGCAGCGAGTGCCGGGCCCCATGCGGCCCGAGGTGCCGGCTCCCAGCTTCGGGGGGGCGCGATGTATACACCACGCCGTCTGGTTGGCAGAGGATCCAATGAGGTCAGCAGAGGAATCTGATGTCTGGCCGTTCTATCGTCCCTCAGCGTCTTGGCCGACCAAAAGGACGTGGTGTATGCATAGAGCCCCTGCCACAGCTGCGCAAGTGGCGCCGAGGTAACCTTCTTTCTATGGCGGGGACGCACCCCTGAGTCCAGAGACGCGAAGGATCATCCTGCGATTCCCGTCCCCCGCCGCCTCCACGTGCTGGACGATGCCACTCAGTGGATCGGACCCCCTTCCAAACAGCTCTGCTGAGTTCTGTAGGCTTTGACTTGATTTGAGTTCCCAGTTGGACGCTCGCTTTCTTATGGTGTAGCCTGCAACGGTGATAGCTGTCCCCATCGCCCGACACTCATCGTCTCAGATGCCCCGACGTCGGCCAGTAATCTTGTCACATATTGTGGTCATATGCTTTGCCAGCTCGTTTGAATTCGCTGTTTTAGCGGACCGCGTCTTGCCCCAAGTCGCCGCCATCAGCAATGTGTCCATGCTTTCTCAGTTGCTCGTATCACGTTGTCGTCCCGACATCGGCTTCGCCTTTCCGCTGTTCCATCTATCTGCCCTACCGGCCCTCGTCTTGTCTCCTGTTGGCTACCGCCACCATCCCCAGGACCACTGGCAATGTTGCAGTGAGTTTCCCGACCGCTCTGCACACTTTCACAGCCTGCAATCTGCTTGTCTCCCTGCCGTAATCTCCGGTCTGCGCGACCTTTCGGCGCCGCTAGGCAAGCCACCAAGCGTACATGCAGGGGCCCCTGACCGCGCTGGAGTTTTGCGGTGCGGAGTCTGGCCTGTCGGTCGGGATGGCTTGAGGGACGGACGGCGAAGATGAGGCGAATGAAGAGTTCATGTCAGCGGTCTGTTTTCGCACTCAGGTCATTAAATGTCGCCGCGCCGTTTGTTCCGACGCGTGGCCTTCTTCCTTGGAGAGAGCGCCTCGGCCACCAGGGCAAATACCGCCTCGGGCGCGCCAGGATTGCCGTGGGTTTCCCGCGTGGCGTCCTCGTCTATTTAGATGTGCGGGCCGCAGGGTTTGCCGTGGGTTTGGCATGGTGTCGGCGTCGTCCATTTGGGCGCGTCGAGGTTAAACGGCGCGGCGACATGTGTTCGCATCTTTGTCATTGAATGGATGGCATTGTTCGAAGCACGCGCCAGCCAGTTTACCCGAGCGGTCGGCCAGGGCTTCTATCCTCGGGTCGTCGAAGGGCGTGCGGCGTCGCTCGCGGGGTTCTGGTGTCCGAAGAGGGCATGTTTCGTTCGTGACGTCTTTCTTTGTGACGCCAGCTCCTGGGGATCTCGATTCCTTCTCTGGGGCAGGCTTTTCATCCTGAGTCGTTGTTCGACTGTCGCAGGGTTGGGACATTGCTTCCAGAGGCTGAACACGTAACAGAAGCGGCCGTCGCGATTTGCTTTGCGTCAACAGGGTCTGAGGGCCCAGGCTTGGTCGAAGAACGCGCACGACGGCAACTTCCTGCTCCTCTCCCCCTTCCCCCACCTCCCACCTTCCAGCGCACCGGCTTGGCTGCGCATTTTGGCGGCGTCTCGCGGCACGTTTCGCCACGCGGCTTCCTAGTCGGTCTGCTGCTTCGGTCGCCGGTGCCTGGCCACCAGGGCTTGGACTTCGGGCGCAGAGACCTGTTCACGCAAGCACACCAATCCTCATGGCGCCAACATCGCAGAGCGGATATGTTTCGGAAAACGATCGGGTGGGCCCAGAGTGTCCTGGAGAATTTCGTTCCGGATTTCGAGGTGAATTCCGTGCGGATTTTTGGTGGGGCCAGGAATGAAGACTAAAACAAATCCGCGTGAAATTCCTTTCGTTTTTCGCTGGCCGTTTCGAGCAAAAATCCACGCAGAAATCTACTGCAGCACGTTTGCAAGGCCGGTGCAAGGACCAATCCTGGCCAGGCGCATCTTGAGCCGAGGACCGGTGCATGGGGCCGCCTGGCCAAGCCAGGAGGGCGCATACGGTGGGCATGCCCAGGATGGGTGTAAGTGCACAGTTCTCTTCCTTCTGGAGATCCGAAGTCCGCCACGCGCAGCACATGGTTGAACATTTCGTTTTGCGTCTTGAGCGCGGATGTTGCATCTTGTGTTGCGTCTCGTGTTGCGTGTTGGGTCTCGTTTTGCGTCTTGCGTTGCGTCTCGAACGTCTCGTTCTGCGTCGCGTTTTGCGTATTGGGGGGCGGTGCACGGAGGGGCAGCTAGGGCTGCAGAAAGGGGCTCTCTAGGGCCCAACAGGGGGCCTGCAGGGCCCGAAAAGGGCACCTGTGCCCCCCTCCCCCTTCCCCTCGCCGCCGACGTGGCCGCGGGCCTGCTGCTGCGGGTCGCAGGGGCTGTAACTGCGCCCGCGCGGCCTCCGCTCGGGCCTGCCGCTCGGGCCCAGGGGGGGGCTCCAGGGTGCGAGAGGGGCGCTTGCGGAGCAGGCAGCGAGGAATTGTTAGATCGGGCCTGACCCTCTACAGGAGGAAAATTCAAAAATAGTCAACACATAGTCTGGGGACGATTTTTGTTTACTATTTTTGGTAATTTTGGGGTACTCTTTGCGTATGTTTAATTTATCCTCCAAAATCCGCCTGTAGGGGGACACGCCCGACCTAAAGGAATTGCCTCGCGGCCGCGGCTGCCTGCAGGATGCGTCGGGGGCCGATCCTCACCGAGCGCGTTCCACGATGTTTTCGCAAAGTGCCTACTCGCACACGCCCGACACAAAAAACATGTTCGCCTCGACGCGGTAGAGCGCGGATCCCCCGCGGCGGATCCAGGCCATGCGCGAGTGGTTCTTTTGCGAGTAGTGGAGCGCGCGTGTGTAGAGTTGTGCCGAGGGGAGAACGCACTTACCACGACCAGGATGTCACGACATCTCCTCGACGCCGATCTTGGTCATGCCTCATGCCAGCCGTCGTCGATCCGCTCCGACGATCCACAAGTTGGCGCTGACCGAAATGGACGGTGGCCAAGATCGACACCAACGTTTCCGCGCTCAGTCTTGGATATGGTATTGGTCATCGTTTTCATAGACACGTGGAGAACTAGAGGGGGAGATCGACGCGGACGAGTATGAGGAGGCGCAGTAACATCGTCACCAACAGAGGCGGCCCGGAAGGTGACGAGGCAACACCACCCAGAAAACTATGCCGCGGAACGGCCCCCATTTCAAAAATCAAGCCATTCAGAACATGCTCAACCCCTTCTCCACGCGAGCCGAATGTTTTGCCCAACCATCCCGTGGTGTTGGGTCCTCGTTTTGAAGAGACGGTCCCCGCGTTCCTCCTCCTCTCCTCCTCCTCCTCTTCCCCCTCCTCCCTCCTCCTTGCGTTCCTCCCACCCAGCACAGGTCCCAGTGGCGCAGCCCGCATGGCGCCGCCGCCCCATTTTGGCACACCCCTCACACGTTTCGTGGCCCCATAGGGAGCTCCACCTAAGGTCCCAATGGCGCAGCCTGCATGGCGCCGCCGCCCCATTTTGGCACACTCCTCACACGCTTCGTGGCCCCATAGGGAGCTCCATCTAGGGTCCCAGTGGCGCAGCCCGCATGGCGCCGCCGCCCCATTTTGGCACACCCCTCACACGTTTCGTGGCCCCATACGGAGCTCCACCGACGGTCTCATTGGCGCAGCCCGCATGGCGCCGCCGCTCCATTCTGGCACACCCTTCACACGTTTCGTGGCCCCATAAGGGGGCTCCATCTAGGGTCCCAGTGGCGCAGCCCGCATGGCGCCGCCGCCCCATTTTCGCACAGGGAGCTCCACATAAGGTCCCAGTGGCGCAGCCTGCATGGCGCCGCCGCTCCATTTTGGCACACCCCTCACACGCTTCGTGGCCCCATAGGGAGCTCGACCTAAGGTCCCAGTTGCGCAGCCCGCATGGCGCCGCTCCATTGTAGCACACACCTCACACGTTTCGCGGCCCCATGAGGGGGCTCCATCTAGGGTCCCAGTGGCGCAGCCCGCATGGCGCCGCCGCCACATTCTGGCACAGGGAACTCTACATAAGGTCCCAGTGGCGCAGCCCGCATGGCGCCGCCGCCCCATTTTGGCACACCCATCACACGTTTCGTGGCCCCATAAGGGGGCTCCATCTAGGGTCCCAGTGGCGCAGCCCGCATGGCGCCGCCGCCCCATTTTCGCACAGGGAGCTCCACATAAGGTCCCAGTGGCGCAGCCCGCATGGCGCCGCCGCTCCATTTTGGCACAGCTTCGTGGCCCCATAGGGAGCTCCACCTAAGGTCCCAGTGGCGCAGCCCGCATGGCGCCGCCGCCCCATTTTGGCACACCACTCACACGTTTCGTGGCCCCATAAGGGCGTTCCATCTATGGTCCCAGTGGCGCAGCCCGCATGGCGCCGCCGCTTTATTTTTGGCACCCCCCGTCGTCTCTCTGCCCACCGGCCACAGCCTTGCCCGCTATCAGCCAGCCAGCTGGCTCTCTGTGCTCCGCGCAGCGGGGCGACTGGCGTGCGTCGCGGGGACTCCGCGCGGCGCCGCGCCCGCAGCCTCGGACATGGGCGTGCACGGGCAAAGAGAAAGAGAGAGAGAGAGACACACACAAATAACGGGAAGGAGACGGGCGCGATCCTCGGGAGGAGCGTGCCGACATGGGCGTCGACGTCTATGCACGTAGACTGGTGCGCACGCAGACCCATTCACAATCATATTCGCTCGCGTTCAGTTTCTCGCACACAGACCAATCGTCTTCGCTCGCGTTGTGTGCCCCGCCATGCATCTCGGCACGCCCCTCGCACGGCTCGTGGCCCCATAGGGAGCCCAGGCAAAGATGATATTCATAATTGCGGTATTCACAACTGCATATGGTTGGGTCCTCCGCCAGGATATATATATATATGTGTGTTTAATACATATATATATATATTAACAAATGAACGCTTCATACAGAAAAACATATCGCCAGATAAGCACGACATGCGCTGCCCTCACCTCCGCCGGGCCTCCCAGGAACCTTCAAAAGGGGCGCCAGTTGCGCAGTCGGCAACACGTGACGGAGCCGCGAGGTCTCGAGTCTCGCCTGGAACCGCGCTGCCCTCTTCTCTTCTGCGCTACCCAGGAGACCACGAAAGTGGCGACAGTTGCCACTTCGCAGCCCCCGAGGGTGCTGCGAGCTCTCGCCTGGATGTGCGTGGGTCTCACCTCCGCCGTGCCTTTCAGGAGCCCGCGAAAGTGGCGACGGTTGCCCAGCCTTCAGCCCCCGAGGGAGCCGCGAGGTCTCGCCTGGATTCGCGCCGCCCTCTCCTCCGCCGTGCCTCTCAGGAACCCACGGAAGTGGCGACAGCTTTGCGCTTCGCAGCCCCCTGGGGAGCCGCAAGGGTGGAGGGGAGGAGGAGAAGAGTCCGGACGGATACCACAATTCTATTCCAAAGTCCGTAACCATTTTGGCTCAGGCCGTGTTCGCGGCGGTTGGAAAACGATCCGGTCTTTGCAGGAAAAAAACCCAGGTTCACAGCAAAGGCGGCGACGTAATTTTGCAGGTGATTTTGCGGATGCGGAAAACAAAAGCCGAAACAATGGCGGACTGTTTGGACAAAAGTGCAGTTGAAATGATTTGTGGGACCTGAAGCACTACCAAATAAAAAAGCCCAATGGTGCCACGCTGGATATCAACACGGTGGGCATATGTCTTAGGGAAGTGCGCCGGGCAATACAACTGTTGCGGATAAGCACAGCAGCAAGTAACGACGGCGTACCCCCCGATGTATGGCAAGTTCGTTGGTCGGACAAAAATGCTTTAGATATTCCGCGGGGTCTTCGTGACGATAATTGAAAGCAAAGAGAAATAATATG